GTTGTCGAAACGCCCGTGGGCAGTGTCGGTGGGTGGAATCGTTTTATTGGCTTTAAGCCGCAAAACACAAAAAGCTCCATTTTTGATAGATATCGGGTCTAAGAGGAAAGCGAGAAAGACCAGTGAGACTGAGCATTCAGTAATCCGTTTACAAACAACCACCAGGAGCGAGTGCTCTGATCTCGGCGGATGTACGGTGAGGCAAAAAAGCTTAAGAATCACACAAATCGTCGTTGTAATTGTGAGGTATTTAGTGTAACATGAAAATTATAGTTTTCAGAAAAACTAATTAGAAGTTTTTATAATCCAATCGACCAAATCTAAACTTTAATTGTGCGCTTCTTATTTATTCAAAATATTCATATTTTAAATACAGCACACTTTTTATTGATTCCTTAGCTGTTGATTCACAAAAAAATTCTGTACCATGTTTACTTAGAAATACCATTTGAGCCCATTTTTCTGAAAGCATCTGCTTCTTCTTCTAGGTGACTTCATGATAGTACATCATATGAGGTCATGAGGGCCTGTCAAAAAAAAAATAGTTTTAGTAATGTAAAGGTGCTGGCCAAATGTAGACTTGCTTTGCTGGCCTTACTGACTTCATTTTGCTTTAATTTACTTTAAAAGCTTGTTTGGCCAAATGTAGCATGGAACGCTGTCAAAGCAATCAGCTGTGCGGTTGCGAAATCAAAGTCTGTTCCATTAACATTAAGAATTTCCTTCAAAATACAACATGAATTAATAATAAAATTAATTACATAATAAAAAAAAATAATAGGATCATCGTCTTAGCTCCTAATCTTTTCAGATTTATTTTGAAATTAATGTGAATTAATTTTTTTTTTTTATTTGAAGGAAAAGATAATAATGAAATAATTATACTAGCTCGTTTACATATAAAAAACTCTTAACTCATAAAGGCGATTTTTCACGAAACTATTGATGAGTAGTTGTTATTGCTTATTGCACGGCTGGTATAGAATATACATACGTTTAATACAAATATGGAAAGAGAAGAATCACTTTTATTTAACATTGAATTACTTACATTTTTCGGCAACACTTTTTTAAATTAAGACATTAATTTACAAGTACATATGTACATATATACATACTTGCAGCAGTTTTAGTTAAACAACATTTTGTTTAAAAAAGCCTTTAGCAATTTGCTTGAATTCATTTATCACGAAAACATATCTCGTTGTAAAAAGCCTGCAAAGCGTTGTCAAATAGAGATTTCGGCTACATATTTGAAACTTTGAAGCGCTTCAAGCTGCCATTTGGCCAACTTTCATACACTTTAGTAGAGTTCAAAAACTGTTTGACGGTTTTCAAAGCGAAGCAAGCAAAGCAAGCCTATGTATAATGCCTTAAGAAACAAGGATCTATAAATACATAATAGTAATTTTAAAAGAAAACTAAAAGGGCGTGTCTCTAGTGCATTTAAAGCTGTGACTCAACATTTTTTTCAAGGCCTCATATGTATTTGGTAATATCTACTTCCAGAAATGGTTGTGGTGATTATTGAACGCGCCCAGTCATATTTTACCTTTTTTGTGGTGGTTTTTGGTGCGATTATTAATTTGTTGTTTAAAGCGTATGTAAATCAGTAACAAAGTTCGCAGCGAGAAAATTTCGGAAAAAATGCAAAGTCAAATAGCTAATCGGTGATGTGTATAATTTTTCATTAAAGCTAAGTCCCCAATTTAAGCAAAAACAATAAAATATTAGAAAAGGCAGCCACCAGCAAAACAAAATTAAAAAATATTTATTACACTACCACGTTAAAGATTTCTTATAAATACATTTGTTTGATTTTTCAAAAGCTTTAACTGATTAAAAGCTTCAATTGATGAATTGCAATCAACTGGCGGCCGCTGTGATGCAGTGGTTAGCAGTGCGCGCTACTATTCCGCCGGGCCTGGGTTCAAGCACAGTTCAACCCAACATCAAAAAATAAAAAACAAAAAAGGATTTCCTAATAGCGCTCGCCCCTCGGCAGGCAATGGCAAACCTCCGAGTGTATTTCTGTCATCAAAAAAAACAGCTCACAAAAACACCATCGCCATTCGGAGTTGGCGTAAACTTTAGGTCCTTCCCCTTTGTGTGACACCATCAAGGCGCACGCCACAAATCGGAGGAGAATCTTGGCCAATACATATGTAAGCGCCAATCTATTATTATTATTAATCTATAATATATATTTTCTTAAAATACTCATTTCACTTCAATATATAATATTTCATTCCGCATAAATGTATGGTTGTGAAAAATTTACTTCTGTCAAAGATTTTTCTGCTGGAGGAATACGAGAATGCACCTATTAAATTGTTTCCGGTTGTCAATACAGCTTATTCCAACATACATATATGTACATGTGTATGTATGTCTTTTCAATAGAACAGTTACAATAGGATACCGTTGAAATTTAATTTTTTATGAATCCGCAAAATCGTTTGGAAACCTTTCGTTTTGCCTCACTGTACATTGCGTAATGCTTTTTTAAAGGGTGCAAATTGCGCTACTTCTAAAGTCTTTTGTTTTTCTTTTTCGTGCAAGTTTTTTGTTTGACGTTTTTTGTACGCACTTGGCTTGCAGGAGTTCTTATCTAATCTTATTTGGAATTATTTTTAAGCTAAACTTGCATTTCAGCACTTTCTCTGCCATTGAAGGAAATGGGGTAGCCACTTATTATTGTTGTTATTCTAGTTACAGCGAAACAAAAGCAATGTACGTCCAAAATAGGATGTTAATTTGATTCTGAATTACAACGGAAATTGTGATGAAACAACGGTTTTGTCTCAATCAATTCGCAACACGATTTTTTGTAAAAATTTAAAACGCCTAAAATTATGTTACAAATAATAATTGCAAGGCACTTCCGTTTTTCGGTCAGCACCAAGAGGTGATCAACAACATCAATCATTTTTCAAACATAAAAATTCGTCACACTTGTGCGTTAAGCTCTCGCTCCTAATTTATTGGGGTACTGAAAATGAAAAAAATGGTTAATGGTCTTTCGCGATGACCTCGTAAATGCTGAGCATCGTAAACGACTTTTGACTGGCCACAGCCTCGGGAGTGGGCACATTCAACAGTGCTTCGGTGCGCGATATTTGATGGCTATGAATTTCGACGATTGCTTGTGCGTCCGTCCATACATGAACATTTATTGGAAAACATTATTTATGACTTTTGTCGGCGCCACCACTTGAACCTGCAAGCTGGCAAACCTCACGCAATCGACCCACACGAAACAACAAATGCGACAATGTGAATGGACACTTTCAAATTGAAATATTTCAAATATGTATTGAAAGTGATGTATGTATGTAGCAATTGTAGAGAGAATTTTGATTTATGCTACTTTTCGAAACAAATTCTGTATGGTTTTAAAGAGAATGACGCTTTGGTTTTGGAATTTAAAAATCCATCAGAGGACGTTGCTGTACAAGCATACAAATTATCTACATATATATACATACATATTTAAATGGGTATGGATGTATCTATACCCTGCAGGGAAACCGCGAATTATTGAATCAAATTTCTAGTTCTGTACTAGATCTATATCGCCAGAAACGAATCGGTCCTATAGTAACTAGATCCCCACCAGTCCAAAATCAGCGAAATGTGGTACTTTTAAAAACTATTTTATTTCACGTGTCTCATTAGAAATCTATATCTATGATGACGAATTTGGAACTAGTTCGGAACTATCGAAAAAGGGATGCAGCGGGGGGGGTTGCTTTTTCGTTCAAATACTACTTTCATTCTGCACCTCTCAGATGCTTTTACATAGTTGTAGCATGTAAACGCATGATAAAAAAAATAGGAAGGTAGAACCGTTGAGAGAAATTTTTCAAATTCTTGACGTTCGCAAGCAATTTTATTTTAAAATTTTACACACATTCTCATTTTCAATCTCATACAAAACAGCTGTTCCTGTAAAACCAGCAAAACTTGCAAATCGTGAAGTACGGGAACAGGCTAATTCTCATTTTCAATCTCAAACAACAACTCTGAACAATCCCGTTTTTTTACTCTCAATTTTATTTGATTTTAAAATGTTGGCAAACTTCAAAAAAAAAAATCATGGCCGACGAATTGAGAGAACGGTTTTAACTTACTATGTTTTTATCATGTGTAAACGTATGTATATTTTTCATAATCATTCAAACAAATTTAATTTCAAATTGAAAACACATTTTTTTGAAAATAATTTAAAACCGGATACACGGAACAAGTAATTTTTAAGTAAAAAAAACCGACTTCAAATCTCATATAAAAATTTAAGATTATCGTTAATTTCCAATGATCCAATGACCGGCTTTAAACCAAATTATTTGGGACCACCTGTGAGGTAACACTTTTCCTTTAAAAAAATAATTATAGAAATAGCTTAAAGTGGTACAAAGTTATGCGGTAACATACATAAAAAAAAAAACAAAACAAAAAAATATTCCGACGAATTGATAACCTTCTTCTTTTTGTGAAGTTGGTCAAAAATATTGAAAAAATCATGATAATTTTTTCGTCTGTCGATATTAGAATTGGTCAAAATTATAGAATTTAGGAATAGTTCGGAACTATCGAAAACGGGAGGCAGCGGGGGGCAATTGACACTTCCTAGGAGATCGCAATGTCAAATTCGCCATTTGCTAGCATGCAAAAGAGAATTAACGCGCATTAGTCATGCTTCTAAATTCTCTAGTACGGAACCAGTTCGGCACCACTGCGATTCCCGACAGGGTATTCTACATACATACATACATACATACCATGTATGTACCGGCGATGCAGCTTTTCAACGGATACTTGTTCGTAGAGGACATTAATGAAGGTTCAAGAAATCATTTGTATGCGCGAAGATGCTATCGAATTTTCACAACAAAAAGGATTACATGCTTAAAGTAATTGCTACACGTTGTTGAGCTTGTGTAAATATTGTAACCGAATTCGATTTATACCTACTACATATATATGTATGTACGTACTTGATTCTCTCACCATTTGAGCAAACATTTTCCAGTCGTTTAACACTTTCTTGAATTAATCTTGACTTTTCTTCGAAACAGCAACTTTGCATGTACGTATTTATGTGTAACTTGAAAGCCGGAATTGAATTGGTAGCAAATTCCGTAAAATCGTGTGTAGTAACTATATATAGATACATGCATATATAATACGCGAAGGGATTTTTTGTCCAGCATAAAAGTTCTGTACCGTTCGCCCGATTTTCAAATTTGAGATGTCAAACTAAAGCGCTTGGTCTGTAGATGGGCAAACTGGTTTTAGTTTTTCGAAAAGAGTTGCCACCTGTTGAAAAATTAAATTCAAATTATTTAATAATCAATAAAAATTCAAAAATGAGGTGTCAAACTAAAAGCCCTGGATCGTAGATGTGCATTAAGAATTTACGTTTTGGAAAAGAGCTACCACCTTTTAAAAAACTATATTCACATTATTAAAAAAAAAAAACAGTTATTACGAACTGGATATCAATCGAAATGGTTTTGAACATGATAAAAACATTAAAGGTAAATTCATTCTCTCAATTCGTCGGCCATGATTTTTTTTCTGACGTTTGCCAGCATTTTAAAATCATATAAAATTGAGAATAAAAAAATGGAATTGTTCACAATTGTTGGGAATGGGAATGAGTGTGCGAGTTTGAGTTTTCGAATTTTTAAATTACATTGCTGGAAAACGTCAGACTGCCTCTCAATGGTTTTTCCTTGTTATGTTTTTATCATTGAAAAGCTTTGTTTCTTAGCTGAAGTATAGGAGGGTTGCCACCTGTTTAAAAAATCATATTAAATAAGAGAAATATGTATAAGCATGTGGGTGCCAAACGAAAGGGGTTTCAGAAAGTAGTTTGAAAATATTTTGAAGAGGGTTGCCACCTGCTAAAAAAGTCGAATTTAGATTACTTATACATAAGTTACACGAAATATCAAAATATGCATGCCAAACGAAAGAATGTTAAGAAATCTTTAGTTTGGACTCTATGAATGTTTTTGAGATGTTGGAAGAGGGTCGCCAACCTGTTTAAAAAGTTGAATTCAAAATATTTTATAATTTATTTTTGCTTATTTATGCTTTTATTGTATGTGGGGCAGTCCTGCTAAGCATCAACATTGGGAAAAAACAGATTGAGCCATACGTGAGACGAATAAGAATATTAATAAAATATGCTGATTTTTTAAGTTCAATGAACGTACTGAGTGGACTTCGTTTGTTGTATTTACTAAAATTTGTCTGGGAAATAATAGGTCTGCTCGTTGAGTGCACTGAAGTATCTTACACTCGATCAGTATTAAAAGATTTTGTACTATTTGGGCCTTATCAAATTCTCGGAGCTTTTCGAAAAACATAAAACAAGGACCCTAACCCTTTTCAAAAAGAGGCATTTTCAATCTATTTAGCCTCCCTTATCAAAATACGAATTTTCATAAAAAGTGGACTAAGCAACTTTTCCCTCTAGGCTAGCGATATAACTAATAAGATGAATTATAAAAAGGGTTTTGTAAACATTTTTTTTAAATATATTGTTTGCATTAAGTCGATTTTTGTGAAAACTATAAAAGGCATACATATAACATACGGCCAAGAATGAATATAAGATTGCGCCAATGAGAGAGGATTTTTGAGCGTAATATTTGGCGAATAACACCACTTTTTTTATTTTTTAATGAAGTTTCTTATATAGGGAATGCATTAGCTTTTCTGCCACTAAAAGATTAACGCTACGCTTGAATGAAAACTTTAAAACAAATTTAAGAACATATGTATGTATGTCTATCTTTTCTCCACGCAACCTCAATAGCCGAATGGTCGCGAGTTCAAATCCTGGCGCACGGTTTTCTTCTTTTAATGATTTTTTTATTTGTAGGTTCTATTTAAAGGTTTATAAAGTGACACCGACACATTACTATCCTGGGACATGTCTGTATAAAAAATTATGCATCTTGTTATGTATAGGCTGAAAGGGCGATACATTACTTTCTATATTACCAAACATTCCATTTTACAACTGGGGATGCTTCCGCATGATATAGGGCGGTATTATCACTTGCAAAGCGAATGAATTGGGCGAAGCGAACGGTTTGGCGAACGCAACTTAAATATGCATTAAGAGTGTTCGCTTTTACCAGCTCGTGCTTCTCTGTCTTTTAATTCGCTTCGGCAAACCGTTCGCTTCGCCAAAATCATTCGCTTCGCAAGTGATAATACCACCCTTAATATTCATCACAGTTCAATGCAGAGTCTTGGATTCCGTGCCGAAGTAACATGCGGGGCAAGAGAAGAAATATAAGTATATACATATGTATGTATGCCATCAAGTAAATAGCAAAAAAATGTCAAAGCAAGCGACATATCATGTAAAGTGCCAAAGGAACGTCACTCTGTTGACACTTCGGGATTTGATTTTAACTTGGAAAACGGAGCCCAACCACAATCAGATCAATCGCGAATCATTATATGCTGGCAGTTTGGTATATTTTGCTTTAGATTTGAGAATTCTTAAGCGGAAGATTCTAAATAGGTGTTATGTAAGATCATAGTATCACCATCATAGAATTTATTCTAAAATTTGTGAAATTACTCGTTATTACATATCGCACACGTAGATCTAAAGTGAGCTCACTCAAAAATAAGATCCGTAAATATAACTGCTTGTGGATCGTTCAGATTCAACGCAATTAATACAAAAACAGGTATGTCAGTAGTTTTTTAGTTGGCGTATATAATCATGAAGAAAAAAATATTTGCAGTAAATGGAAATAGGTTACTCGCTGTTTAGATCTACGTGTGTGATATGTTTCTTCAACCTTTACGACAAGACAATATGACACCTACAACACCTTGCGAATCTTCTACAATTTTAAAGACCTGGGCCTGAATCGCGGCATTCGATATCGAACGCAATTCTAATCCAAGGCTAGTTTAATAAGGTGGCGTCGGGGCGACAGCTGAGTTTTTTGCCGTGAAGAGCACAACGTCAAAATCAAGGCGAATTTATACAAGGTGGTGTTAATGGCGAATTTAGATTACAGCAACAACAACCACATAGTTTTGTATTGCAAGTGTCAAGGCGAATTTACACAAGGTGGTGTTACTGACGAATTTAGATTTTCGCCGCGGTACTTCCTAATGTCAAAATGATATGTTTATTGTAATATGAATTCGCCTTGTTTACAACAAACACATCATTTTGACATTAATAAGTACCGCGGCGAAAATCTAAATTCGCCATCAACACCACCTTGTATAAATTCGCCTTGAAGTGGTGTTAATGGCGAATTTAGATTACAGAAACAACAACCACATAGTTTTGTATTGCAGGGGTCAAGGCGAATTTGTACAAGGTGGTGTTGATTGCGAATTCAGATTTTTGCCGCGGTACTTCTTAATGTCAAAATAGTGTGTTTGTTGTAATATGAATTCGCCTTGTTTACAACAAACATATCATTTTGGCATTAGGAAGTACCGCAGCGAAAATTTAAATTCGCCATTAACACCACCTTGTATAAATTCGCCTTAGCAGGTGCTATGTCAAGTCTCAATTCGCTCCAAAGTTTACATGTATTTTGTTTTTGCTTTGATGGGTGTGCTGTCAAATCAGTAAAAGCAAAACCAAAATACATGTACGGCGAAGAAATCAGCTAATCTTACGACACCACCTTGTATAAATTAGCCTTGGTCAAAATTATGTGCTTTTTTTTAATTATACTGTCAGTGTGCGTAGAATTTGTCAGTGTAATTTTTTACTTATATAAGACTAACACCACCTTATCAAATTCCCTTTGTTCTAATCGAAATTTGATTTAGAGATCAAGGCACTCGAAAGCGAGTGCGCTTCTTCAATTTAAATTCAGCCTTATCATGAGTTTTATTTTCCCCGAACCGGTTCTCCTTTCACTTTTGGTTTCCATGTGTTATCTATGGGCGGAATACAAATTTTCGGGATAATTTTTTTCGGGCGAAACTCAGGATAAAGCGTGAAAAGAGCTGACATTTTAATCGTTTCGATTCGAACCGAGTAACTCTTCGATCACAAATACCGCGATTCGGGCTCTGTTATTACTTGATTTCAAAAAGAAAGAATAAAATGGATGAACCTAAATACATACATATGAATACGGAAACACGTGAACAGGAAGTGGTCTTCACATGACGAGTTCGTTAATTATTACATATAAAAGTTTTATTCTCAACCACGCACAACAAGCAAGCTAGCAAATATGTATTGATACATAAATATCTATATACTACTAAATGAAAATGCATTACATTTAAATTCTTAAATTAAAAAAGGAGTTAAAAGGATTTTAAAGTATACTTTCATATATGTAGCTAGGTTATTTTCTTAACGTTGTTGTTGTTGTTGTGACGTTTTTTCTTAATGCTTACGCATGGTGCATATATTCCTGTGTATAGGTATAGAGCAAAGTCCCCCGAGGACAGTAAAAAACACCACACCTTCTATGCAGAAATCAACCCACTCTCTCATCCTACATATCTTTTTATGACATTTACGCTTATGTTTTGTGATAAGCAATGGTAGGCTATGATATTGGCTGTGACAGCAAGGCAAATGTGGGCATCTATTTCCACACACATTGACCGGTGTGTAAAAAAAAACCACCCTATTGCAAAACTTTTTTCCACATACATATTTTCAGTTTTTTATACACTCAGTTAGCTAACCACTTTAACAAACTGACCGCTATCACTCACGGAAATCGATATAAGTATGTATGTTTAGATGTGCATTGACATTATGTATGTGGCTTTTAAGGTTTGTTTTATCGTCACATACATCAAAATGATTAAGTTTCCCGAACTGAATCTAAGTGGTGGAAATCAAATTAAATAAATTGATATAAGTGATACTGACAAGTAAAAATATGTGCAGGAAAACAACATAAAACAAAATATGACGGAATGCAACATCTCTATATGTAAGTATGTAGATACATACATACATACATATGTATAGGTTGAAGTTATTCACACAAAAGGATGCGATAACAAATATTCATGGAAATTTGAGATTACGATTCCAAATGGAATGTCTAATTAAAAAGTCTTCACCTCGAAAGAAGTTTCTTTAAATCTATGCTATTAATAGTTTCTTTACATATATCTATATAAATTCATTAGATGCGTGGTTAGTGTTATGTACCATTACTTTCCCGTTTTTGCTTTTTTACTTCCCGTGCGAACTGCAATGAAACGTTCATATTTTTCTTCTAAGAACTTAAAAACTGATTCAAAAGAGGAGTACGAGGTCCATTCGTGCTTTGGATGTCCAGCCGATACACTAAGCATTTCTCCTTCTCCCGTATAGATTTCGGTGTCGAGGGGTGCAGAACTAGATACCCAGTTGCAAGATATATCTAAAATGATCTGCTTAGCTTCACCCGGTATTTGGAAATGGGCAGAGTCGGTTAGTGCAATCGCAAACACGTTTTTCTCAAAGAATTTTGTAAAACGTTTGGCCTGCCAAATAAAATACATACACGCTGAACCCACTGGTGATACTTAGTTGATATGAAATTTATTTTACCAAATCCATTGCAATCGCTCCACCGTAGCTATGTGCTACAACTGCTACACTCTCGGGATTACAAGCCATCACATACTTTTCCCAAACATATCTGGCGTGTGCTGAAGCAGATCCAAGTCGTGGTATTGGTCGATTTTCCCCATTGATCATGCGGTAGTTGTCATTTGTATTTGTTAGCAATATATCATATCCCAGGGACTCTGCGCGTTTAATATAGGGAATTTGAGTGCCATGGTCAAGTGAGTTGTTAATGATGAGGCTTTGGAGGCAAAAATTTAGTATATATGTAGAAGGCGTGAAAATATCGCGTTGCTAAAAAATTACCTTCTAGCCCACTGACCAGCTCTAACGTAACCACTACCATGAATTATGACAACTAGCTTTTTCGGTTCTACAAGCTTTTCGGGTTTTGTGAAAATAAATGTTGCTTGCTCTTGTGGTACATCATCAGGTACATATGTGCGTCTTAAACCATTTTGTTCCAAAAGATCATACACAATCTCAGGAATTTGCTGCAAAATATTCTCGTTTGAAAGAAATTACAAAAGTCGAAAGCTACATGTCTTACTTACCTCAGCTAATTGCTCGTAATGTGCCTGATTTTTGGCATGATCGTCAGATATGGTGAATTTAAAAGGCTCTGCCCCAGGCTCTCCTGTGGTTTCATCAATTTTTCGTAGTTGACCCTCTAGCAATGAAATGGACAGCGTAACTTTGATAGATTTTGTATTTTCTATAGATTTGTTTCTAGGAAGTTTTACCTGCATTAAAAGCATAGCCGAATTCACGTAACTTTTTTAACGCCAGACCACTTTTCTCAGCTGAAGACATACTTTTGCACTCACTCCCACTCAGTGGCTGCGCTGCCTTAAAAACACAAATAAACAAAATAAGCAACAATAAACTTCATTCATTTGTTTTGAGTGCAAACAATGAACTTTTTGTTTATTTTTTAGATTAAAGATTGCTTTTATTGATTAGGATATTTTTAAAAAGCACACTGAGCGAAGTAATAACGCGAAGGTTATCTCTTGCATCACAACTAAAAACAATCCAAGGTCAATTAAAACTTACTAAATCTATTATCTTCTTCCCTGAGGGACTTAATTGATATGTTTGCAATGTGGCGATTATTTGTTTACCTTCCGTACGTTGCGCCAAAAACGAGCAGCAGCCAAAAATCGGCGCACAAGATTTGACATCTTCATTTGTTACTAACAGCTGATAGTGTTGCCAAGCGTTTTAAGAGACTAAATAGCTGCAGATGAAAAAAATCAGATACAGACGTCGCCAAAATCAGTTTAATTCATTAAAGATAACCCGTTAATTTGAAAAGTCTCTTGCAACTAGTAGATTTTGTTGCCACCTTCTAATAGGTTTGTTCCACTCGAGCCTGCGGGTACCCGCGGGTGCCCAAAACAGGCCAGAAAGAATTCCGCACGCTAGAAAAATGGGTAATATCCACTTTTGAATCGTAAATGTTTTGTTATTCGTGCCCGAAACAGCTCGTACTTTTTTCCGGGCAGAAATGTGCATGAAGTCAGTTTGAAATAACAGCTGTTGTTTGTTTACATCCGATAGCATATTTTGTAAATTACAAAACGGGAAGTAGTACTAAAGGTTCACATAAAATCATTGTTTAGAAGCTGATTTGTTGATTCCAGGAATGAGAAGTAGTTTTTTGCGTTCCCCACGCTCTGTGCACTTTTGACACTTGTGAGAGAGTAACTTATTTTTACGCTCTAATTACCGAAACAGTCCGGAAAGCGTGTGGAACAAACCTAATATGTAATTCCAGCGTGTCAACGTTACCAATGTATTTACCTAGAACTGGAGTTACAAGAAATGGTAAACATAAAATATTCCGGTAATAAAAGCTTTGCACAGAAATGTGCTTTTACGATATTCTCTAGGAAATGGAATAGACATTTCCTGTCCACCCCTCAATACGATTTATTTTGAAAATATGTAAAGGAATCGCTACAACATTCGGAACAGATTTCCAATACTCTTAGAGGTGGCATACACGGTGCGTCTGACTCGCGAATCATTTGTGTACGTGTTGACTCGCCTTCGACTACACACAGTTGAATCATTCAGAGTCAGTCCAAGAGTCAGGTACAAGGCGAATTTATACAAGGTGGTGTTAATGGCGTATTTAGATTTTCGCCGCTGTACTTATCTGTCAAGTCGATTCGGGCTTCTTGCCATTTTCGTTGTTTTCCTTGTAAAGAACCAAAAGCTAGAAATCAACAATATTGGCACGTGTAAAAGCAAATAGAAAAAAAGAGAATGAAGAAGAATTGCTTTCAAGTATTTGAATCATATATATATGTAAATTGTAAACGAACCACATTAATGCCAATTGTTGCATATTTCTGCGGGCGCGGGATAGGCAAACAAAGAAATGAAAACGAAAGATTGATGACACGAACCGGACTACCATGAGTGTTTCATGTTACATGCATGTGTATTAGAGCTAGGGCTATTCGGTTAATCGATTAACCGAATTATCCGAATGTGACTGAAGTCGATTACATTTAATCGGTTAGCAATATTCGAGTAGTGGAAAGCTGTCGACTATTCTATTAACTGTTCACTTTAGATTATTCGATCAACCGTTAATTTTCTGTTAATCGAATATTTTTAGTTCGGGATTTTTTGCATTTAAGCGTAAATAAATATATGAATTGACTTATTACATTCGTAATATTTAAGATTGCATGTGCAATATTAAAGCAAACTTTTTTGCAAGAAATAAAGGTATGTGCAGTAAAATACTGGATGGGATAAGATTAAATTGTATCCCATATTAAATTACTAAATCTTTGTTATCAATGCTAAAAGCTATATTAAAAGACACGCTTTTTTAAGTAATTGAATTATTTAAAATTGATTGCGAAATATTTTTGACACACTGGCTAAAGAAATACCTAACTCTGATTTTCGCGATTTTTCTTGTGGATTTTTGTTAAATGGTTGTTATAAGAGAATGATTGTTCAGATATGGAACACGTTACTTCCATTTCCCCCACGGATTTTACATTTGTCAAAAAATTTCAATGAATTTCGGTAACTGAAATTCGATTTTTACAATACCCGAGCGGGCGACTATTCGAATACCATTAACCGACCGATCGGTTAACCGAATAGTCGAATACTCGAATAATTTTACGAGCCCTAATGTATTTGTATGTACATACATATGTATACTATGTATGTATTTTGCTGATACATATTAATTTTAAACAAAACTTATTAAATGCATAAATATTTATTTCGATATTAAATCAATTCAATTAAAATAATCTAAATTGCTAGTAAATTGTATGGACTTACACATATATGTACATACATATACACTTTATTTAAGTACATACATATCTCTAAAATTAGAAAAATGTGGTTAATCACAGTTGACTCAGGGTACATCTGTCCAAAAGATAAATTTCACATTTGCGAATACTAGATTACTGACCACCTGATGAACCGGACGAGGAGGAAGCTAAGGCATTTCCACTGCTGGCCGCAAAGATGCGCTGAAGATTACCGATGAAGCCCCACAGCATGCTAACCAGGCTGCCTGCAAAGTCAAGCAACTTGAATTCTGTGCTCTCGTTGGCAGTCTCGCGATCCTCTTCGGTCTCTATGGCCGACGACTCGTTAGCAGCCGTGTGATCGCCGAAACCACCTTTCATTGCGGCCAGCAACTGATGATGCTGCCGGGCCGCATGCACAGTCTGGTTGTGCTGGTCACGTACGGTATTGAGAAGATGCCGCACAGGCTCCAACACCGGTATGCTTTGCTTCATGCGATTCCACAACGGGCCCCCAACGTGCGGCTGGCTACAGTTCTTCACCATGGTGGAAGACTCATGCTGCTCACTGCGACCAAAGACGTCATCGGCGTCGTCCAGTGTATTTTGATGCAAAACCAGTAAGTCGTCAGTTCTGTTGGCCGCTTCGGTGGTATATTGCTGAACCACAGCGCTGCTTCCAGTGCTCTGAAAACCATTGTCAAGACTCATATCTAGTTGTTCTACAAATGCGCCATACAGTTCAGAGAGCGGGGTTGCCGGTTTAGTAGAGCGTAAAGCTGCGCTGCGCCCGCCAGCTTTGTTTTGAACGCTCTCATAGTCGAATTCTCTTATTTCACCCCTCTTTGCGCCGACTCTGCCTTGGTGAACGTAGCTGACGATGTGGGTGGTGTGAGGCACAGATGTAGTTGCGGGTAGGGCAGCAATCTCCAAGAGCGTGAACTGAAAATAGAAAATGCAGAGCCAAGTGATCACCACAAATTGGAGGAAGTAATCTTTGTTAATGGAGTGCAATAATGCCAACATTTAAATGCCACTCCTGCCGGGGATCTATGGCGCGGGGTGGCAATTAGTGGAACACTAAAATGGCTTGCAGCTTATGAACATACGCAATTATAAATACGCATATGCAAATCGTTTGTACTTAACTGGAATTCATAATAACGCTCGTATTTGGTATTTGCACGGTAATGCGCACATATACACGCGCCAATCCATATGTACCTAGATATCGTCGTTTAAAGTACAAAACCGCGTAACTGACATTGGCTGCCAAAAATTGGTTTTGCTCACATAAGTTCTTGGCTCAATCCTTATCCATTCGTCCTAAGATATACTAGCCAGAAGTGCGATTGCTTTGTAAAAAAGACAATCATTTTGAAAGGCGAGTGTTTTTACTCTCTAGAAAATAATTTATGCAACCTCACATGCGAGGTTTTGCATTTTGTTGATACGCGGTTTTGCATTTTGTTGATACGCGGTTTTGTACTTTAAACGACGATATGTACACACATGCATACATACCTATATTGTCATAAAATATGAATGCTACTAAGTATGGCGCGTTGGTATTCAAGGTCACACAACGTTCGTCATACAATACTTCATACACGTTGGGAACAGCTATCAACAGCAATGGCTGGGGTTTGAAGTTCAACTTTTTTCGCTGCACTGGAGTGATTTACAAGTTCGTAACGCTTCACTTTTGTCCGCAAAAGAGATGAAACATACGGCTGCGGTGCATTCAGCGGCACTCACCTGCAGTCTTATCGGTCACCAACAGTATTATCCATTTCCAGGTTCAAAAAGAGAAAAGTAAACAAATGTGACCCGACTTGCCGATTTGAAGTTATACCAAACTCTGTTGGCTAGGTTAAGACTGCCTCTTCATGTTTTTTTTGCACCAAAGTGCACCGAGCGGCCATTTTTGGTCAAAAAAAATTGCAGATCTAGATTACTCCCACCCAAAAAGACCCTGAAAGGTTTTTTGATGGTGCATTTATTTGCATTTAAATCAATTTAAATTGTTTTAAAGGCAGCTCTGTGACCACCAACTTCAATTGCAAAAAAACTTAAAATCGCCAACTTAGAAAAACCGAGAATTTTCTTTTCTATATCAAATCAATACTTTCAGAAAAACTTAGCTTTATCAATTCCCCAGCCGACTGTCGAACAGTGGAATAGATGTAAATAATAAATAGCCAACATAGTTTAATAAAAACAAGATGCTCGTAGAATTTATAAGGTCTTCAAAGGATCTAACTTGCCTCATTGACTGGACTACATATATAATATTTTGGGTTTTCGTTCTAACACTATGGGTATAAAATCTTCGAAAGTCTCAAAGCTATTACCTAGTCAACCGCTTGGCGAACGATATGGCTATGTGTATGTGTGGTGAAAGGCTTTAATTTCCACTTTATTCCTTTTTTCCTTAACTAGAACGAGCTACCTATTTTATTTCTTCCACAACTTTTCACCATTTTCTCCAAGCATACGTGCACTTACAGTTGAAAAAACAAAAGCCCACGCAATAGTCCCGACAATTCGATGCGCTCCGAACATTTTGCTGAATTTACGTTTTAAAACTTTAACTCTATCAAAGTCAAACGTTGAGCAATGGTCTCGATCGCGCTCCGAAGACTGTACTCCTTGGACTACACTTAACACACCACAGTCACTGGTAGTTTGGCTCGCACTAACCGCTTTGGACATCGCCGATTAACCGAAACGGTTTGAAAAACGATCCAAATACTATAAACCAGCCAATTTAATCATTAATATGCGGAATGCGTCTCCATAAAATTTGGTTTGTTTCATTGCATTACTTAGTTTTGTTTTCATTGTGGCTTGCAGTCACACACATTACCCCTTGGAATCGTGTGCAAAGTATGCACGTATGTATGTACGCAGAATGAGCGCTTATTGCTTATGTTCCCCGCTCGCTCTGCACCGACAATACTAGAACACATTCGGCGTGATGCCAATAACACTGACTCACTGAGTGCTAACCACTTGCCAAGGTCACTTGGTACACAGTTTCAGAGGTCCAATGGTCCGTGAAGCGGCATGTCTTTGGATTTGTAACACTGTACCTCCAGCGAAAATACCTTACGGACAATTTTTTTTAGTAAGCTACTGACTCAGAGCTTTGAATCAAAAAATTTTCAATGAAAATTTGAAAAAATACCAAAAAAAAATTTTATCTTTTCCTCTGGTTTTTAGCAAAATTTCTTGTGCAAACAAAATTCTTAATAATAATTATGCGAATATTTGGTAAAGTCCTGCAGACTTTGCGGGTGAGTTGTCTACTTGTTCGTCGGCCTTTGTCAGTTCTAGTACTTATTGCGGAAAACATTTTTAGCTTTCAAGACGACAATCGAATTTTAAACCGCGTCGCTATTCTTCCCTTCTTTGTTGCCATAACCCTGTTCGGCGTTCCACTCCTACCAACGTTACCAGCGTTACAAAAAATGTGGCCATCCGGCCCATGTCTTCTAAGACAGGTAAATATACACACATAAAAAAAATTTGGAGTGCTTAGATAAGCTTTGTACTAACTACCTCACATTGTAGACTCTTCCAACAAGGGAGGCTCCACTGTTAAAGCAAACATAGCCAACATACTGCCCATGGCCTTGATACATTGGAAAAGCCCGAATTCTTCGACGAGAATCATGCTAATCCCGCTTAACTTATTCGACTGGGACAACGATGCTAACAATAAAACATTAAAAACGCTGTCGGTGATTCGGGAACATGCTGGACCAATCGAGGCGTTCACTGAAAATTTAATGGACTCAACAGAACCAACATCCTGTTACAGCGTTCCGCTGGCATCCAACAACACAAGGGCACTGCTGGACCAGTTTTCCGGTCATGATGACGGGGCGGTGGTGGCTAATGATGAGGAAGCACCAAACTTGCGTGCTTTGAAATCATCGCAAGAGGGTTTCAAGGGCAACAGCGTCTCACGTTACGAGAATCTGGAGCGCGCTGTCGCTGAGCAGGATATGAATCGCATCAAAGCACACGACTGCTTCGGGCGGGATTTGGTTGTGTATGTGCCGGAGAATTCGGCCATATCTTCAATGCAGCTGGCCTTCGAAATGGACATGAGCAACATTCGCGACGATATTCTTAGCACTGAGGCCATCAAGAACATAGACATGTTTAAGGCCCTCACACCGAAGTCTTTGAACGATCCCACTTTGAAGATGACAGTCAATTTGGACCTGGGCAAATCTGCTGTAGAGAATAAAATTCCCTTGGATGTCAATGCACTGATTCAGGGCACTCTCGAAATTGATCCATCCAAATATACACCAGGCGAGCTGGAAGAAATTAAAGCGCCTACAGCAGCAAATATCTGCAGCGCGGCTTTAAAAAAGGGCTTTCCGGCGTATATCAGCCGAATGTCGTATTCCACGAATTCGTCGGAAAATAAGGAAGCTCCAGCTCGTGATGCCCACATTGTTTGCGTTCGCGAAGGTTCCAAGGGGTGTATTTCACCTGGAAATGCCGAGTATCCGAAATTTGAACCCAAGCCCAGTTCCGGAAAATCGCCAGCATCAAAAGAAGCTGCGCAATCAGGCAAGGCTGGTGGTGCCTGCATATCTTCAGAAATCTCGTTGCTCTCCTCCGAAATAATTGGTCACAATTCTCGTGGTCTGATGAGTTGTAAGGCGTACGCCCGAGCACTAGTTGAAGCAACGAAGCGCCGTGCGGAAATCTCCAAGGACAAATGTAAGCCGAGTGACAAAACAAAAATTAAAAAGGAAGCGACAAGGAAACGGGATAAATGCGGTGATACCAAAAATCCATGCACAACGCCATTGTTGGACGAGTGCGGAAAAGAGCTGAAAAAGGACTGTCCAACTAGGAAAAAGGAGGATAAGAAAAAGAAGAAAGATCCTTGCAAGGATGATCCCTGTAAAAACGCGTCTAGTAAAGATAAGGGGACATGCCGAAAACCGGGCTCTTCGATGCCCTGTGGAAGTAACAAAAAGAAGCAGGAAAAGGATAAGGAAAAGAAGAAAGACATTTGTGGAAATTCGGAAAAGGGGAACAGATGTCATAGTGAGACGGACGCATGCCGCACAGAGAAAGATGACTGCCCGAAACCAAAAAAGGGAAAGTGTATTTTGGATGATCCATGCAAAGACCCCTGCGAAAAGGAAAAGAAGAAAAAACCTGAAACAAAAAAGAACTGCTCCTCTGCTACTCCCCTTTTAAATAGCGTAAAGTCTCCGCTTCCCAAAAAGCAAGAAGCCGTAGCTTCCGATAAAGAAACAAAATGCCAGCCGGTGACGAGTCTTTCGGATGTGAAAAAATCAAAATCCTCTTCAAACTGTGAAACGTCAGCGAAGAAATCCAAGAGTGCCAGTGACATAAAAATGTCAGACAACAAATGCAAAACCGAGCCAAAGAAATCTAGTACTACATCTTGTAAGCCGCCCGGCAGTAAATCGGACTCTGGTGCATCTGATTCCTCTCAAGCCAAATGTAAGCCATTTAATAGTGTTAGTCCTATGAAAGGCAGTAAATCTAAGACTGGATCACCTAAAAAGTCCGCCTCCGACTCAAACTGTAACGAAACTAAGGATGGGAAATCAGATTCAACTAACAAAGAAAAATGTAAGCGATACGAAGGTTTCTGTACCAACCAGAAATTAAACTCCGAAAAATCGGAAAGCAAATCGAAGCAAGTCAAAAATTTATCTGACCTGAAGATATCGAAATCGTCCTGTTCAACAGACGAAAAGTCCGGGGACAAATCTAAGCCAATCATAGATCTATGCAATCTGAAGAAGTCGAAATCTACTTGCGCGACAGATAAAGAAGATGACGGAAAGAAATCTGAAAGGGCCGCAAGTAAATGTAAGCCTGTAAAAAGTTTATGCGACGTGAAGGAGTCAAAATCTTCTTGCTCAACGGACAAAAAAGTGGACGGAAAGAAATCTGAAAGGGCCGCAAGTAAATGTAAGCCTGTAAAAAGTTTATGCGACGTGAAGGAGTCAAAATCTTCTTGCTCAACGGGCAAAGAAGCAGACGGGAAGAAATCTGCTAAGTCCAAAATCGAATGTGGAACTTCTAAATCATCACCATCAAAGTCTGATTCCAAAGACAGCTGTCAGAAAAAAAAGCCAACAGCGCCCAAGTGCAAGGCCAAGCCTGGTTCAGGTTCAGGTCCGGGTGCAGCTTCGGGATGCAAAAAGTACAGCACGTTGACGAACCCCAAAGCAATTACTGAAATTTTACCGGTTAAGCGCTTCTTCAGTACCATCTCGTCATATTATGTTCCGCATGGTTTAATGCCGTGGAGACAGTTTAGTTCGAAGAAAAGTGCAAAAGGAAAGAAGAAAGATAGCAAAAGTTCGGGGATGTGCATGAAGCTTCAATCGAAATCAAAGGCCAAACGCACTGATAAACCTGAGCGAAAAAAACCAAAGACGGACTGTTATGCTGACGTCGAGACGTGTCAAGAGGCTGGTTGCAAGGATCCTCAGAAATCTAGCTGCGGCAAAAACAAGAAGGGTAAGTATATTGTTTCTTCAAACAAGCTTTTCATGAAACTATTAGACTAAAAAATCCAATTTTACAATAAGGTAGTAAATAAGAATCTCTCACCTCTGCGCTTACGAACTTGTCTTCAAATTGCCGGTCCACTATCCTCCCTAAAAGGAAGATGTTATGGATCAGATACTCATAAGGAAGGACAAATCGGATGCTATGAAGAGACAAAAACTATTGAACAATGTGAAAACGATAACGACAGTGACGATTGTGATTCTGAAGATGAAAGTGAAAGTGACGCAAATCTAATAAATGAGACAAGAAACGAAGTGATAAGAATAATGGAGCCATCTACCGTTGAAAGATGTTTGGAAGCCATGCCAAATTTTAGTGAATATGGTAATCAAAAACGGTATATTTCTGTGAACTTGTGCCAATGGCTTTATAGACGAACTTGTTTGCAGATGTACTTGTGCGCACCGAAGCCGTGGCACTCTCTGGCTCAGACCTGCATTACTATGAAACTGGAGGCGAATCATATCCCGGCATGACGCTAGGTCACGACGCCACTGGTGTGGTAGAAGAAGTACGTTAACGATCGATGCGAGTCAGCTGTGCAACATTTTGTGTTTCAAATAACAATACCTTTCCTTTCTATTTGGTTCACTCTTCCATCAGGTTGGCTGTTCAATAACGAAGCTACGCCCTGGGGACCGCGTTGTTATAGAATCGGGCTTAGCTTGCGGCATATGTGACTATTGCAAGAAGGGCTGCTACAACATCTGCAACCAACTAGTTTTCAATGGGTTTCTCCGTAAATACCAAGTACACCCCGCCGACCTCTGCCACAAAATACCAGACGACGTCGACATGATCGAAGCGACTCTGACACAAACTCTGGCCCTTGGCTGCCAGGCGTGTTTCAAAGCCCAGGTGCTACCCAATACAAATTTACTGGTTATCGGCGCCAGCCCCACGGCCATATCGACGGCACTATGCGCACGGGCTATAGGTGCCGGCAACATCTGTGTGGCGTCTACGATGAGGGAACCTCTTGAGGTGATTCAGAATACGTTTCACTTTAACTGTATGAACTACGAGGCTGACCTGCAGTACGGCCTGATATTAAAGTGTTTGTATAGCACGTTGCACGCCTGGCCAGATGCTGTCATAAACTGTGCCGTCTCCGAAAAGACCCTGAATTTAGCAGTGATGGCACTGAAGCCGTGCGGCGTTTGCGTCTTAGCGGAATGCGATACAGAATGCGCATGCTTTAATGCAATGGACGTGATTATGAAAAACCTGAAATTGCTTCCCAGTTTCCGTTCCATTAACATGTAGGTAACCATATTCTTAATACATACATACATATGCACACAAATCGGTACCTTAATTCCCAAAGGCCCTAACCTATACTTTTTTCGAAACTGCGTTTTAATAGACCTTCGATAAAAATTTGAAATCGTTGGTACCAAAAACAACGGAGTTATGCCACCTTTTGAAAATCCCTATCTGCAGTTTTTGATTTTCTTTTTATGTTTTTTGCTTCCCAGGTAAAAAGAAAATTTGCTGCTTAGGGCCTTTTTGAATTAACGTAACGAAACACCGTCCTCATCAATGCAAAGAAACAGGTTCGAAAATACGGGTTTTTGTAAATACATAGAGCTAATTTACTAGAAAACTGCCATACCATAGAACAAAATATCGCACGGTTAATGATATAGAGACGTAACTCAAAATTTACGTTTTTGGAGATTTCATTTTGCAATAAATTAGCTTAATAAGTAGAATATGTTCAGCCTAACAGATAGCCAAACTTCCTAAATATGGCAAAGGTCTTTCCATCTGGCTTTTTAACCGACTTGAAAAAAGGAGGAGGTTATCAATTCGTCGTAATAAGAGAACAAAAGTACGAGAACAAAAACAAAAAAAAACAAAAAAACTTGCAACCTTCGAAACAGCTGATCACTTCCAGAGTTGCCACTGGTGGGTAATTTGGCAATTTATTTTGTGCTTAGTACATTTGCCACAATTCTGCATTTGATGCAATTGCATACTTTTGGAATCGAAAAACCTTCTTAAAGTACAAATTAATTATATCGGAATGAATGAAATATTTTTCTCAAAATTATTTGTGATCCCACATCATGGCACATTCAAAAATAAGAGCTCATCCTCCAAACACCCATCCTTGGTAAAAAAAAAAATTAGTAGATATCTATAAATCGTCACCTGAAATGCAAAATAACGTAACAACATCGCCACTGAAATGGAAAAAGTCGTGACTAATTTTTGTTTTTTTCATAAAACGATGTGGGGAGTTGTAATTTGATTAAATAGCATTTTCGAAACCCTGGGCCAAATATAGTAAAATTGCGAATTTAGTTTTTCTCTCTGACGTCAGTAATTCAAAAATGATTTTAAAAATTCAGAGAAATGTGATTAGAGGAGAAGTATGGGTTTAAACAGATTCAAGTTTCTGGTGCAGAAGGGCTGGTAAATATTGAAAATACAATTTACAATTTCATCCTTGAAATTTCGCAATATTTGTTTTTAAAAAATTATATGTTATGGGCTTATATAAACTCGATATCCTCGAATTTCGTTCTTCTAACTATGTCAGCTTAAAAATTACCAATTCGTCCTGGTGACTCCAAAAAATTAAATTTTTTTCCTATTGCATTTGTTACCCATATTTTTATTCTACATTGCATTGAATTTTTTTAACAATTCGAATTAATCATATCTTTGAAATTACAAAGTCCTTCAAAATAAATCCTGCGGTCAGAGATAAAAAATAAAAACGCCATTTTAAATAAAAAAGTAGCTTTCAAACCCATTTATTTATTTCACGGTAGGAGAGATTCTCAAACAGTATAGAAGCAATTTTTTCGATTCAAATTATTGAAAAGTAATGAATATCTAAATCCCGGGACTAATCCGGGGATCCCGAGATTGTGACAACGCCATCCCAAAAATCCCGGAATCGGAAAAAGCCGAAAAATTAACATCCCTAGTCAGCACACACTAAAGTAAACAAACTGGAGATTAATAGTAAATTAACTAAACAAAAAAACTCAACAAACCTTGAGCTTAATAACTTTACTCTCTTTTTCGTTGTATACTAGCATTAATAGTTGCGATCCCGTACGAGTCCGAACTAGTCAGAAATAGTCAAAATCAGTCAGATTTTACTGGAAATCGATCCCGTACTCGCTTCTCTGACTATTGAGAGGACAAAAAAGAGAGTAAATACTGTTGGTTCTCTCTCTGTCAGAAGTTACCAGTTTTAGTCCGAGAATTTTTTACTGGTAAATTCTGGTAAATGTGTCAAACGATCAGCTGTAGAGTGTTTGGCAACCAAATGGTAAACAAAAGAAAAGTGAAAAAAGTATTTTTGGGTATTTACAACCAAAATTTGGAGGTTATGTTGAAGTTGGCAGAAGTTACCATTTTTTACTAGAAAGTGATCCCGTACTTTTCAATGTTACTCTCACGCTCTGAGCGAATTTTTATTTTTTGACAGTTTTACTAGTCCGAGTCCGAGGAATACGGGATTGTACCTAATAATTAAATTTGCAATAACTAATTCAAAAAGATCATATTTTCTCTTGTTTATATACAAACATATGTTCGTGATCAGCTGATTTCCTTACTTGCAAGGTTTCGCTCGGAAAATCTATCTCATTTTGCTCTCTCAATTTCCCTACTTTGCAAGTTTTTTGGGTACGAGAACGCAAAACCAGTAAAAGTTTTCTAAAACTTTTGATAGTTTTGCATACGAGTACACTTCTATTATTAAACGTGCGATATGTATTAATTTTAAGCCATTCCTCTCGAGTTTTCGGTTTTTTGAGCTATGATAGTATTGAAGTAAATGAGCGATATGTATTCCGTTAGTTGGCTCTCAAAAACGTCTTTATACCGAAATTCGAAGGTATATCTCAAAAATACAAAAACAAAAGTTACATGCATTTGGTTTTTAGCGTGGAGGTTACCAAGGCGGGTAAAAAAAAATCAAAACAGATTTTATAATAACACCACTTTCCTGTAAAACTTTAAGGCTATCTGCACACTTGTCGTCCAATCATAGTTGCGTTATCGTCTCGTCCTGAAATTTTGAGCCGAGCACATGCATTTCAAAGGAGATTGGCACACTTGCCGTTATCGGCAAATTGTCGTTTGCTAATCGTTGTGCACGCATTGTTTGTTTACATTTTATGGGGAAAAATTAGTGAAAAGTTAATATTTGCATTAAAATTGCAAAAATAGCATTTTTTGCATAAAAGCTGTGGAAATTATTAAAAAGTGGATAATTGCATTAAAATTCAATAGATGTGAGCGTTTTAACTAAAAAATATGACGAAATTGTAAAAAGCCTCTGTTCGCATGCTCAAACCACATTTCAGGAAAAGAAAAGAAGAGATATTACTACGGTGACCATCCGTCCTTTATTTTAAAGGACTGTCCTTTATTTTAACCTTCTGTCCTTTATAATTTTTTTCAAAATAAAGGACGCCTTTTGTCCTTTATTTCTTAAACTGTCCTTTAAATCGGCTCTGCATTTTTCAGGGTAAATTTTTAAACGCAGAATATGAAAAATAAAAAAGTCCCTTATAAAATATAATGAAAACTTTCGCCAGTTTGTTTCGCACCCCACTTAAGGGTTTCTATTTAATCGGTAGTCTTTGTACAATCTATAAAGCACAGTTCCACTGAAAGAGAACAATAAACCCCCTGCTGCACAGTGGTTCAAAACTGGCATTCATTCACTTCATTTTTCGCTTAGTTTGATTAATCGTTATTTTTTATGAAAGCTTACAATATTTGCAAGAGACCAGTTGAGCCTGATTTCTGAATTTTAATTTGATTATATTAATTTTTTTAGTGCAAAATGCACAAACAGTAGCAGCTTTGAAGAAAATGTATTCTTCTGTTCCAGTTAATAAATGTTACATAACAAAAGCTAGTTGAAAATAATTGTATGGTTCTCTCAAAACAAAAAAATACACAAAAAAATTTTGAAATGTTATAAAAAATGTTCACCAAAATAAATATTTTTTTTTTGGTTTTTACTAAAATTGGTGGAAAAATGAAGACTCCAGTGGATTATGAACATTGAATTCGAATTTTGAACCACTGTGTGCTGGCTTCGTCGTGCAGTATGAATTATGGTAAACGCATTTTGGTAGCAAAGGATGGCGAAGTCCTTGAAAAGGATTTGGCTTCATTTTTCGCCACAGCAGGGGAACTTATACAATTAAATAATATAATTAAATGGTAAATATTTGACTTAAATTACGATATGGGCAAGGTACTTTTATCATACAAGTTGTATGTACGTATTTCCAAACCATTTTAAAAAAAATGTCCTTTATTTTACGTTGGTTAATATGGTCACCGTAGATATTACTGAAAAATGATGTCTAGAATTGTTGCCGCACAGTCTATATTTTAAAAATTGCAGGTTTTTGTAAATATTTCACGAATATATCAACCAGAAAAACAAAAAAATACCTGCTCCAAGTGAATTTTTAGACGCCAAATGAATTGAAATATCACGATCGAGTGTGCGTCATGTAACCGTTGCATTATGGTTGTGACGAAGAAGCAACTATGATTGGACGACCAATGTGCAGAAAGCCTAACTTTGCCAAATCTGCTATTGATGGCGACGATGTATATATATGTAGCTACATATATACATACATATGTATGTACAGATGTGTTAATGCACATACCATTTTTTGCCATCTTCAGGTTTCCGACTGCTCTGAATTTGATTGATTGTGGTAAGGCGCCCATTGGTCGGCTTATTTCACGAGTGTTTGAATGGCACCAGGTGGAGCAGGCTTTCCGGAAAGCGCTACACGAATCGAATGTCGGAAACAAAAAAGTTATCGTAAGATGTGCAGAGGAAGAAGATGCGTACAGGAAGGAAGATTGCAAAACCTGATTATTGAAATTCAAACATTTTTCTCTCATAAAAATTGTGATTTGTGCTGCACTTTATTGGTTGTATTTTACGATCTCCAAAATATGTAAGTAAAATAATACAGGGAAATGTTTTTTTTTCTTCACGAGGGCGTGAGAAATTTCAAAGTTTTTCTACTTATATGCGTATGTAAAATGCACCCAGTTAAGGCATTTAAAAAAAATTGGATAGAATTGGTTTATTCGAGCTGCAATTGATGCGGCAGTGCTATTTTTTAAGAAAGCATAACGTTCTACGTAAAAATTTGGGCGACTTTGCCTACATCAAGCGTTCGAGGAAGAAAATTTTGACAATCGGTTACTCACCACTGGAAAATCAAAAGTAACATACGATATCGAATCGAAAGTATCGATATAGTACTCATTTACAGTATCGCTTTAAAAATATCGGGCTGTAAAAATATCGTAATAAAAAGACTCGATATTCCAAATATAGACACAAAATTAAAAAAATGAAATCTGAATATTATTTCTATTAAAGAATTAACACTTTGCACATTAATAGGTATGTACATCACTGAAGGCGCACCACATACCAACCTAAGATAGTTCACATTTCCTTTACATATAAATTTCAAAGTAAGTAAGGTTACAGTACGACATAGATTTGCAAGAAATGGAATGTTTAAAAACAATATTAACAACAAAACTTCATTAGAAATTTTGGTAAGGACAAATTTTTACATTTTGGAATTTGGAAAATTAACTTAAAATATTTCAAATATTGCTACAAAAAGCTTTATATAAATAGTCTTGCCCAATTCCCAGAAATTTGAATGTTGACGTTTTCATTTTAACTTTAAATATTTCAAATATTACTACAAAAAGCTTTATACAAACAGTCTTGCCCAATACTTTTGACAGAGAGTAACTTATTTTTACGCTCTAATTACCGGAGCAGCCCGGAAAACGTGTGGAACAAAGCTATTGACTCTTGGTTACCGGTTGAAGTTGAAAGACAGATGACGCCGTGTTCAGTATGCTGTCAATTTCACAGCTGATTGTAGTAGGAATACACCCCTGCTTAAAAAAGGTCTTTTGCGTTTGTTTTCTTTGGGTGCAACGTGTTTTTTGGTTGTTTCTAAAATCTACATTATTTATACAACTGGATATAAAACATACATTTCGGTAATCGCCAAGGAACTAAGAAATATGGGAAAGCTTAACGTCACAGTGCTGCGATACTTAACTAAAGAGGATTTTCGTGTGCTCACAGCGGTTTGTATTAGATAAGCGACTCGCATGTGTATCAGGACGCTAAAATATAATCCTTTTCAGGTTGAGATGGGCATGAAGAATCACGAGCTTGTACCCGGACAATTGGCTGCATCTATTGCCAATTTAAAGGCCGGCGGAGTGCATAAACTGCTTCGGGAGCTTTGCAAGCACAAACTACTTTCGTACGAGCGCGGAAAGAAATGTAAGATTACTGTTTAATTCACCTCACTCAGTATGAGCATATCGTGAATTTTCCGCAGATGATGGGTACCGCCTTACGAACACCGGTTACGATTATTTAGCTTTGAAATCCCTAACGCTGCGGGGCTCTGTTTCTTCATTCGGCAACCAAATAGGTGTAGGCAAAGAGTCCAACATTTATGTCGTTGCTGACGAGGAAGGCCAACCTATTTGTTTGAAGTTGCACAGACTCGGTCGGACTTGTTTTCGCAATATTAAGTCGAAGCGAGATTACCATGGGCGTCGTCATAAAGCCTCTTGGTTATATTTATCCCGCATATCAGCAACGCGCGAATTCGCCTACATGAGTGCATTATATGATCGCGGGTTTCCAGTACCAAAACCAATCGATTTCAATCGACATTGCGTGTTAATGGCGCTTGTCAATGGCTGGCCAATGTAAGTTATACCGGAATTATATATCGAGGGCTTATATTCAATAGGACCTATATGCAGTTTATACAAACACTGCTTTCCGATATTAGAATCCATCAATAGTTAATTCTTATGACACCTATATATATACATGGTCAGCGTTATCATCATTGATGGCATTTAAGTAGTGGATTTTTGTATGGGAATCACAGTTTTGTGAAACTGCAGATAGATCATATTAAATATAAACCCTCGATTGTAGATTTGTAGATAAGTAGGTAAAATTGTAGTTAATCATCGTACATCTTAATACCCAGGACTCAGGTACAGGAATTGGTCGACGTCGAACAAGTATATGATGATCTAATGAACCTAATAGTTCGTCTTGGCAATGCTGGTGTCATTCACGGCGATTTTAATGAGTTCAATTTGCTGCTCGCTGATGATGGAAAACCTGTTTTAATAGATTTTCCCCAGATGATGTCCACCTCACATGAAAACGCTGAATTGTAAGATAAAAAGTTGAATACGCGGTCTCTTGATCTAATCGTGTTTGTTATTTAGTTTTTTCAATCGTGATGTTAATTGTGTACGTGAAATGTTTCGCAGAAAGTTTGGCTACGAAAGTGAAGATTTTCCTAAATTTTCGGACCTGAAACGCGAAGATGATTTAGATGCTGAAGTACATTGTACCGGCTACGGTGTCACCAAAGAAATGGAAAGAGATATTTTGCAGGTATGGCGCACAATTCCACCGAATGAATTTTTATTAATTTTTAACCGATTTCAAAAAAGGAGAGCGTTATCGATTCGTCAGAATATTTTTTTTATGTATATTACCGTATAACTTTGGACCACGTTAACCGATTTCTATAATTATTATTGTTTAAAGGAAAGGTGGTAGTACCAAGGTGGTCCCATAGTAATTTGGTTTAGATCCGATCGTTGGATCTGAAGAAATTAACGGTACTCTTAAATTTTTATTTAAGAATTGAAGTCGGGTTTATTTTTTGCTTAAAAATTACTTGTTTATAACTTCGAATAAAAAAGTGCAGAAACGCTATTTTTTGTGACCGGGCTGAGACATAACGCATGGTTTATTAACTAAGTTAAATCAAAACTAACAATGAACTCAATTTACTACATACTTATATTTAGTTCACATTTACTACTTTGGAATTAAACGATTTAATGTGCTTCATCATAAAAAAGATAAAAGTGCACATTTCATATTTTTTAGGAAACCTATTTTGTACACCTAATATACGTGTCCTGTTAACTCCAATTAGTTTCTGTGAAAATCATAAACATTCCAATTGTTTTTCATATGATATGGGCAATTCTCACAAACTTCGAGTTTTTTTGTGAACAAAAATTATTATTTTTTTATGGTGAGCACATGTCTGAAACTTTTAATATACGTTCCTTTAGTTGCTAGAATTACAACATCCAACGTGGTGTAACATTTCAAAGCAACGCACCGTACGTATTTTTTTTTTGGAAATCGAAAGTGGGCGCAATTTTAGTCCGATTTCGAAAGCGATTGTTAATTTTTTCTTCAGAAGGCTCAATGATCTCAATAATCGAATCAAATTTCATTAAATAACTTCATGGAGTTTAAATAAAAAAGTGGATATAGGTTTAAGCGGTTATTGCAAAGTTGTACCAATACATGCATACATAATAGCTCTGGTGTACTGAACTTTCAAGCTATGTGGTTATATATTTTATTCAGATTTTAACAATAAAATACACTATAGAATAATAATTTTTAACCGAATAACTTGATAACCAAGCAAGTGTGAATATCGACAGTATATGTATATTTATTTCCGTGAACTTTTGTGTTAATATTTCACCTTTTGCAAATTCGATAATCGTTTATTTTTGGTCACGATTTTCAGGAGTATGGTATGATCGACGAGGAAGGGGATAGTGATAATAGTGGACACGAGCTTGAGGAATGCCCCACGGAGAATTATACAAATGATGAACTCAAAGCGTATCGTCGACAACTTGAAAACGAAGTAAATTTTAGCGAAACGAAGAGTACAAAAAAAACCGACGATTCCATTCGCCGTTACATTGAATCATGTTCTCAATATTTGGCAAACATAAGCCTAGCTGAAGAAGGCGCACCGGAAAGTGAACAAAAAAGTATCGATAGCCCTTCCGAAAGTGAAATCAACGCCGTTCAGCCAAAGAACATTTCAGATAAAGTGGATCGTGGCAACGAATCGGAATCGGAATTAGACGCCAGCGACGATGATCGCTATGATGATGCTGTATCTATGAGCTCAAATGATTTGGAAACGGACAATTTACCAGAGTTAGATAAAATTGACCCAAATTCACGCATGTATCGTCTAAAGATGGTAGAGAAGCTCTTGAACGACACACGTAGCCAACGTTCATATTCAACTAATGCGAGTACAATAGCGCCATCCGTGGTAACTGATCGCATAAGAAAAAACCTAGGTGCAAAAGAAAGACGGGAAATGCGCAAGCATTGTGTGGCTAAAGGCGAAGCAAGTGCTGTACATAGACATCGCAAAGAAAACAAGGACGTAGTTAAGGAATACGCTGGTTGGGACTTTTAAACTGTCATCTAATTTATCTGTCAATAAAACATAAAAAAGAAAACAAAATGTCGCCGTCATTATCATCCATCCAGGAAAATGGAAAGGTTTCCTTATACTATTTCAGAAAAGTGGAATTGAATATTTACCACTACTACGTCCACCACCAGTCTCATTTGCTTTTCAATCAAATATTTTTGCATCGATTTCGTTTTACTGCATATTTGGATGGCGTTGCATGTACGTATGTTTGCTTGTATAATTGTTAATGGCATCATTTTAATGTAGCGTAGCGAAAAGAGCATTCAGTAATCAGACAGTTAAGTGTGCGATATATATACTGATAGTAAATGTATCTCTCTTCGTTAATTATGTAATATGTAATCGCTTCATTTAGTTTAGATTATATTTTTGATTATTTTATTTATTTATTTTGCCAGTGTTATTTATCTAATCAGTTACATCTAGGAGGCCCTTGCGATCGAAAAACGGCAACATTGTCTTGGTAATATTTTGTACTTTCGGGTTACTATATAATACTTTGCAAAAATTTCTGGATCGTTCACTGCTCTCGGTCAAATTTTTAAGATCCGCGTCGTCAGTATTTTCACTTGTTTGTAAAGGTTGATTCACTATCGCTGCTGTAAAGGCTAAAATAAAAAAAAGGCGTTAATTATTTCATCCAACAAACACAACAAAAATAGTCAAAAATCATAAACGCACCATAAAATCGTCTATCCTCCAGTTGTACACAGAGCTCATGTAATGAGGGTATGTGCCCGGCATAGCTCAACCTCCGAAGCATATCCGCTAATATCGAGTGGTAATGCTGTATAAGCTCATCCTGCTTATTTATACGCAATTCATTTGCAACCGAAGTATTAAACAGATAATGCAAGTCCACTGCTGGCGATGACCAATTGCTGAACTGAAAATCAATTAGTCGGGCATCCTTAACAGTTTTAGTGCCATTCATTTGGCCGTTCGATTCAAACGAAAACATTATGTTAGTTGACCAAATATCACCATGAATAAGTGTTAAAAAATGACTTTCTTTGGGATCGTAACAACGTACAGAATATTCAAATATGTGCTCCTTCAGTTTAAGCAATTTCGCTTTATAGTAGGGACCCAACTCCTGGCAGCCATAAGCGAAATTAGCGCAGGCCTCAATCATGCCTTGATGAAATGGTTCGAAGGCATGATTTGTGCGCCTGAGGAATCCTCCTTGCAAACTTGTCAAAACATCGGGCATTCGTTCGTTCAACACCGCACCAGCGGCATGGAATTTCGCTAGTTTCTTCAGTGTTAACCTTGTTTGTGCTTCATCCATTCCTGCGATGCGATCAGCAACGACAAAGTGTGAAGGCGATAAATCCTCAAAAATAATGGCAGAACGCTCGAAATCGACATGGATTGTATCGGCAAATAGCTTGTCCTCATCTCCGATATCCCGCAAGAGCGTAGTCATTTGCGGCAAAATCTGATGGTACATCAACATCTCTCTGTTGTAAACATCAAACTTTCTCATGTATTTATCAATGACTGGATCGCCTTCGTAGTCTGTTTTTACAATGTAAAATCCATGTTGCGGCACCTTGTTATTTGACAAAAGGAATTCCACTTTGAATCGCGTCAAAGTGCTTATAAAACTCTCGCCCTTTGATGTTCCCGAACTGGAGTTTATTTTTGTGACTGTAAGATTACTATCTTTTTTGTATTTGCGAAGAATCGTTTCGAAGTATTCCTTCGTTAGCCAAACAGAAGCGGATTCAAAAGATTTCTTCATCTTGATTCGAATCAAATGTGAGAGTGCCGCCCTTAACAACCAAAGCAGTGAAATCTTGCGACCAGACTAAAAGATTTAGTAATTGAAAAGCGTTTTTATAGCACCAATTGTTATATTAGCCGTAGCTGGAGAGAGCTGATAACAAAGTAAATGTATGTTCTGAGAAAAGCGGTATGTTGACATTAGGATGGGTCAGTGAGTTGGAGGGAGAAATTGCTTTTGAGTTAATGACTTCTTACATCATCTTGTTACACAGATTGGAAGTTACAATTTAAATTTTTGATACAAATATAACTAAATTAACTACCTCCATTATGAGCTGACATTTTCAAAACAAAACGTTAAAATACCTTTCATGAACATCTGAAAATTTTACTTTAACAGATTACTGCATTTGAAAAAATTTATATATTCACAGCATCCATAAATAGAGGAGTTACATATATAAAAAAATCATATCTAAACAATCAGGGGTATGGATGATATACCTTATATAGCAGCAATATAAGTGATTTTCACTGCTGTGTGATCGGTATGTAAACCGGTAACACAATTAAATGGGTTCCTATATAAAGGAGATGTATCGCAAAAACTGGTATAGGAGATAAAGCTTATATAGCGTAGATTTTAACGATTTGCTCAGTAGACTTTGTATTGTTATTTATAAAATAGCTTACGAAATTTATCGGTTTTAGCTGTC